GGAAGCGCGGATGCGAAGGGATCTCCTCTATCCCCGTATCTCCGGTCTCTAGCCCGGACGACAACCGGCAAGCCCCCCCCACCCGTGAACTTTCTTCGTTCGCGATGCATAATAATTTGCCCCCGTATATTCATATTCATAAATGGCGCATGCATATTCGCGATAAATTTCCCCGCGGAGTCCCCCGCCTCTACGCTCCAAAGTGTAAATTATTTTCTGGGCAAATTGAAAGCTGGCGAGGGTGGCAGTTGCGCGTAGGCTCGCGTGTATATGGGGGAGGGGAGGGGAGAGTTGTTGATCGAAAGGATTGATATTGTCGATTTCAGATACTGGATACCCCAGACACTTGATACCCGATGCTCAGTTTATGGCGGAAAGTTCTCTTGTTCGTTTCTATTTATTTATTTATTTATTTATTTATTTATTTTTGAGAATCTTGTTCGCGATATTATTCGAGAGCGCGTTTCGATTCCTTTTCGGCGTTGAAATTTTATATTCGATGATTTTTCTTCGCGTGATAGTTCTACTTTGGAAGGGGAATATTGTGATTTTATTTAGTGAAATTCATTTCTTTCGCATTCCTTCAATTTAGGAGGAGGATTTTTATTATAAAATCTCCAGGAGACGAAAGTTTTTTTCTAGAATAACGATATTATTTTACAATCTTCTTTTTTTATTTTATTCAAAAAGGTATGTCATCAATCTCGAATGGATCGATATTCCATTCTTATATTTCCGTATCATAAAATTGAATTTAATTTCTTGATGCGATATTGAAAAAAATTACAAGAAAGAGGATGGATTATTTCTTAAATAATACAAAAATCAAAGATCAATGGATTTGACGATTCAACTCCTATCTAAGAAGTTTAAACGGGCATCGATACTTGGTTGAAACCAACCTCGGAATCAATCTGGACAAACAGAAACAGTTGATTTCTCATTGTGCTTTTCCTCTTTCACCCGTTTCAAAGCCCGCGCTCGCTACCTCTTTTTCGTCTTGCCGCGTTCCTCTTTTTCCACCAAGACAGAAAACGACCGAAGTATCTCGTCTCGAATTCTCGAACCAACTTTTCTCCAGGTATATAGATGATCGCTGATCTCTAAGATCCAATAAATCGCCGGTGTTCTTCCACCTTGGGGCGCATCCCTTCTTTCCCCTCGTTCTGCCTTATTTGCACCCTGTCTTTCTCTCTCGGTCTCTCTCTTCCCCTCTGTAGCTCGATTACACTCGCTTCTGTATCTTCTTTCCTATTTTTCCGTCTTCGTTTCGTCTCCAAACTTCGTGGATGAACGAGTTGGCATTTGCGTCTTTGTTCGAGGCTAGAGCCTAAAGAGACAGAGCATTCCTCTGAAGGTTGAAGAAGAAGAAGTGTGGAGTGATTTGAGTGTGAGTGTACGATGCAACAGAGATGTGTGGGAAAAAGAGAGACAAGGGATAACTTAAGGACAATAGAGAGAGATGATCCTTTACTCGACAGAGGGGGAAGGGTGGCGTTTGGAGAAGAGAGACTTGGGTAGGGAAAAATATAGAAGAGAGACGAAAATCGTGGAGAAAATTGTGGAAAGGGGTAATAAACGTGGATAAGAAGATAGGAGACAGAGGGTGGGAAAGAGTTAGACGGTTCGGGATAAACTCTATAGCCGAAGAAAAAACCTGTAAGGGAGATTGGTTTTCTGGGAGGGAAGGAAATGGGACGGGGAATCCGAAATCAAATATAGTTGGACCGTTGAGAAAAAAGACAAAGGGAGGGTTGATGATCACGATTCGTAATCCAGAGAAAAGAAAAGAAAAAAAAGAAAGAAGAAGAAGGAAAAACTTGGCCATCGACAAAAAAATGTCGCGATAAATTAACAAAAAATCGACACATTTGAAGGAAGAAGAAGAAGAAGAAGAAGAAGAAGAAGAAGAAGAAGAAGAAGAAGAAGAAGAAAAAGAGAAAGAGGTCGATGGAAAAAGAAAAAAAAAATTGAGAAGAAAGTGAAGGAAGAAACGTGGGAGTAAGACGGTGAGAAGACGGAAACGTGATGAACAAGACGAAGAAGATGAAGACGAAACGGCGCGAAGGGTGAAGAAAAACGGAGAGAGGCCGATTGGAAGGGTATCGTGGGAGAAAGAGGAAGGGTGAGATCGGGGAGAAAAGAGGAAGGGAAGGGGTTAGAGTGGCGCGACAAGGAGGGATTGAGAACGGCGGGGGCTGGGGAGTGGGGAAGCCGTGGAGAATCAGCGCACAGCTACACCCCACCGTGACGGCCGCGGCAGTCAGTCGTCCGCGCACCTTCGTTCGGTGAGGGTTTCGTGTTCGGTGGAGGATCGTCTCCGCCAGGGAGTGTAAAGAGAGAGAGAGAGAGAGAGAGAGAGAGAGAGAGAGGATCATCGCAGATTGTCATTCATCGATCAGCTGATTCTCCACGAGCGGTGCTTTGACCTGCGATCGTCAACAATCGTCGTTGGACGGATCGACGTCGTCCCTCAACAACCCCTTCGTTGCGTGGACCACTGCGGAACGGTGAGTCAAGCCATTTTTTTTTTCTTTTCATATTTTCTGCGCCACTCTTTGCTTAGAGTGATAATTGGGCGAATAGAATAACGCGAAATTTTCGTACGATGTAAGGGAAGGGATGAGGTTAGGGAATGGGGGGAATTGGAATGGGATTGAGATAGGGTTGCCGTTTTGGCAACGTCCGCGTTCCGTAAAACGTTTTGAGAGTTGAAGGGAATCGTAAAAGGGAATCGTGCGAGATCGTGTGTAGTTAGAGTATATAGAAAGGAAGGTTGAAAGTTGGTGGCAACATGTTTGTCTTGCTTGGACACAGGGAGCACACGGGCTCCACTGTGTTTTCTTTCCTTTCCCTCGTTTTTCATCGGCGTGCGAGAGAAGCAATCGATACCCGATTCTCGAGATGTAACCAAGGACGCGCCGTGGCTTATCCGCAGCGACACGTTAGGATGAATGAATCGCGTAGATTTTCTCGTTTTATTATATTCCTTTTTTACGTTTTACGTATGCCATTTTCCATTATTTCGCGTTACATAAATATATTATATAAATATATTTATCGAATACTTTTAAAATTAATATCTCTTAAGACGCATATATTTTCCTTTTCAAATAACATTTTCTTCTTTATCACCACGTTTTATTATTCATACGTAAAACGTAAAAAAAAATTTTTTATACTTTCCATGCGACTCTATAAATATATATATATATACGCAATATATGACTAAAATTTACGTAGAAATATTTATGGAAAAAGCAAGTTATCAGTATTCTGAACCGAAAGATACGGTAATAGGAACGTATAAACAATGTTCAAGCACGTCGCAAAAAACACTCCGTTTCGCGAAAACCTGTTTGTTTTCCTCCGTGTAGGCAAGAGGTGGATGTAAACCGATGTTCTTCTTCCCTCGTTTCTATCATCTCGTACAATGTGATCAATACTCTATCCCCCTCCCCCTTCCTCCTCCCTCCGCATGTAATCCATTGATTAAATTACAGACCTCCAATAAAATTGTATAACCGTCTATTCTTAGATAGATAGATACATCGTACTTGAATAACGCACAGTAAAATCATCTTTCCTCGTTTGAATAATTAAATTATCTAATCATAATAACGCGTACGCCACGCCGCGATATATATATATATATATATGTATATGTTATAAAATTATAGTCACAATCTTCTCAAAATCTTCTTCTCCCTCGCTCCCGATGTTCGTGAATCCCTTTCACCGTTGAGAACCGTAGTATAATTCCTTGTATCGTGATACAGACAGGAGGGGGAGGGGGCTCTTTACAATTTCCGCAGAATAGCGCTCCCATCTCTTTCGCAGCTACGTCGAAACTACGTTTGTTGGCCAAACACAGCTGGGAACGTTCGAAATTGATGCGAGAAATTTTGGTCGGCAGCAAGCCATAAAAGTCATTGTAATTTCTGCAAGTTCGCGGCCACGTGCAACCCCGCGACTAATGAACGATCCCCTAGCTGGGTCAAACTCTCTCTCTCTCTCTCTCTCTCTCTCTCTCT